GAAAATGACTTCCAGATTATTAACAGCATAATTTGCCAAATAACTCAAAAAAAATTGAGAAAATTAAAAAAATAGGCTATATGTTTTGAAATTAAAAAAAAAAGGGCTAATGTTGACATATTTATCCCCTCATTTAAATGAACAAAATTTAATTATCTTATATATATAATAATAATAGTTGTAGTTATTTTATAAGAAAACTTAATCGTAACTTTCACTCACAACTTTTAGTCATGCACTCTCACCTCCATCGAGCAAAAAACAAGTAAATTTTGGGTTGATTGTTTAAACGCTTATACAAGAGAACAATAGTTGATGTTCACATGTTTATTACGTTATCCTCTTTAATTTGCAGGTGAGTCATCTATTACTTGAACAGAGTTATTATCTTGATGTATCAGAAAGCAAGGCTTAAGGAAGAGTTTGTTGGTGTGACAAAAAAAAAAGGAGTTGGTAAGTATATTTCTATTTCTATCCTTCCATTGCGTTGTGACTGGACCAAATCAGAACCTGGAAAAAAAGGTGTTGGTTGTTTTTTGGTAAGTTATATATTGTTCATGCCACTTGTTCTGTTTCTCCAGACGTTGAACCATAAAGTTTTGATCAATGTCAATACCAAATCAGAAAGAATAAGGTATTTACTTACAGCACTCAACTCCCAATACGCTCTTACCTTGATTAGAATTGCAATGTAATTGTCTTTATGGCTAGTCTTGCGTAAACGTAATTCTCAGTTTCAATCAAACGAGTGACTATTTGTTTTAAAAAATATTTGATTTTCAGTAGTTAATTTTGGAAAGGTTTAATCGTAATTTCACAGTATTAAAAGATCTATTTTTTTTTTTAATTTCAAAAGATTTGGCCTATTATATTAATTTCAATATAAATTTGGCCTATTTCTTTAGTTCTCCCAAAAAAATTATAATTAGTTAAGTAGCCAAAACTCCTCTATGTGACATAACCACAACCATTAGATTTAGGTTTTTTTGCTACTTAATTAATTATAATTTTTTTTTGCTATTTGGCAAAGAGTAATAGGCATGTATATTATGTTTGGTAGAT